GGACCTTAGAAATCATCTAGTCAAATTCTCTGTTCAGTTCAGGATTTTCTAGAACATTTCTGACAGACAACTGTCCAGCCTCTGTTTGAAGATCTCCAATGAGAGGGAATTCACCACATCATATAGCAGCCTATTTCATGCAACCTCATACAATCAGAACATTTCTCCTAACATCCATCCTGAACCTCCTTCCTTGTTGTTTTAACCCATCGGTTTGGGACCTGCCTTCTGGGTCAACCCATAATAAATCTGCTTCATTTTGGGGTGACAACACATTGGCTATTTTGAAGATTTTTCATATCTCCCCTTAGTCATTTTTTTGTAGTTTAAACAATACCCAAATCCCTGAACTGTCCCTCACAGGGCTTTGTTTCCACACCTTCGCCATTTTGGTAGCTGTCTGAACTTGCTCCAATTTGTGCTGTCCTTTTTGAACAGTGATGCCCAGAACTTAGGAAAGTATTCCAAATGCAGTCTGATCACAGCCTGACAGAGTATAAAAATTAATTCCTGTTATGTAGATTCTAACTCCTAGTAATGCATCTCATTAATCGTAGCTCTTGGAAGCCTCAGCTTATTTTGAGATTTAGCTTTTCCTCCCTCCCTCCCATTAATTCACGTGCTTTACTATATATTCCTCTTACATTCCAGGCCACAAACTTATAATCATGGTCATCAACATATGGTTCCAAGAAAACCTTTGTGGTTTTATCAACATAATGCTTTTTAGTAAGATTAAAAAAAAAAGAAGAGTAGATTAGGTTCTCAGCCTTAGTCATACCCACACCGTATACAATATTCCCTGCTAATGATAAAGATATTACTTGTCAGTTCTAGCACATTTTACTCATATTCCACAAGCATAATCAAAACCCAGTTTTATCCCAAAAATGTTCTTTTTTTTTTTTTTTGCAAACTAGGAACTCTGATTTAATGCACCCTGCATGCCATCATCTTGGTGCCTGCATCCAACCGACTAGGAGCTACATACAGTGTACTGCTGCACTCAGTATACTCTTATATAGCAATTTTCTAAATATATCATATTATATTACAGAAGCACACATTTTCATTCCATTTTATTATTTATATGCTGCCTTTCAAAACCAAGTTTCCCAACTGGCTTACAATTTTTATAGGCACTTTTCCTTTCTGTATAGTTTTTTTAACAGTTTTAGACTGAACTGCATTACAAAATTTAGAGAAGCGTTAATATTGAAACACACTGTACTTCTGTTTGCTCACTAGATAGGGAAATGCAAATTATGTGTGCATGAAAATCAACTAATTTCTCTTCTGTCACTCCCGTTGATGTGCAGTGGTCACCAGATGCTTATACTGATTTAACTGGGTTCTGAATTATTTACTAATCTTTTCCATTCGCTAAAGGGAGATGAGGCTTCTTTTTAATGTCTGAGAGCAATTAGTCTCTGATTTAATCTCTTTCACTGTACAGCTGTGAGATGAACTTGGTGCACAAATAAAATATTAAAGGCAAGATCAGTATCCCCCTTTTAAAAAAAAACCCTAGTAATACTGCTAACTGCAGATCATGAACCTGATAAAATATTTTGTGTATTATTTACCTACTGAGGTTTTCTATATACCTGGAAAAGTTGGGAAGATGGAGAAGTTATGGCAAGAGAGACAATGACTGCGGTGGGAAAACGTGCCACTGCTTTTGTTTATTAAATGAGATACTGACTTTTTAAAAGTTCTAGTATTTATACCAATCTCACCTTCTGAAACCAATTGAAAAGGGAAATTGTGGAGAGAAAAAAAAAAAAGAAACTACAAATGGTTTGGGACCAGCTAACTGAAGGACTGCCTTCTTTCATATCAACCTGCATAGTCCTTAAGGGTAATTTTATGGGTCTTGTTCCAACTGTTATGGGTATCAAAAATAAGATAGGGCCTCCTTTGTATGAAGACAGTATATTTCTGAAATGCATTCTCCAGAGCCATCCATTTAGCAAGATATCTGGTATTCATTTGATAGACTGATATT